AATCTACCATATTTCTGTGTGCAATTACTTAAGGACCATCCTGTATATAATATCAAAAGTGTTGGTGAAACTGTTCTTTTAAGAGATTAATTGCTAGATGCTTCATTAATTTCTATTGGAGAAGTTTGTTCGGATTTTTCTGATGATTGGATACTTTTTGAAGTAGATGAATTAATTTGTATCTGCGATCGTAACTCAGAGGGTTGTAGATACATTTATGTCTGTGGTGTGAGAGGAAGATTGAAAATTTTGTGTTAGGGTTGTAATTTGGTTAGGATTTGTATTGTTAGGAGAACATGCATATATTTAAAGCACACATAATCATCAAGGGATAACAATATATGGCAAGTTGTATTTTCATGTTATGAGAATAGACTCTGGAATTTCAGGACTAAATTGAGTAGAAATGTACGACTGCTTGCAAAACTGAGAATATATACCGATTCTGAGAAATGTAATTGGGGCCATAAGTATTATTCCTAGTTTTTGTAATGCTTCCTCTATAATAGTATGTGGAATTGATAAGCATACATTGGATAGATAGGCCATTTTATACAAACCAACATGCCTATCAATAAGGAAAATCTTGTGAGTCTGCTCTGCATCATCTTGTATTCAAGATAGAGGGGGGAATCATTAGCCAAGTATTTCTTGACATAGAAGGAGCTCTTGATAATACTTCCTTTAAATCAATGGTAGCTGTCGACATGGGATCATATCACATGATACCCCGCTTAACCTTCAACAGACTCTTCCAGGTTAACTGCAATTGGAACGAGGTAAATAAGGAGGTAGAGAAATATTTACTTATGGTATACGGATGGATCTAAAACTGACATGGGAACAGGCTCTGACATCATCGTCTCACTGGGAAAACATACCACTGTATTTCAGGCTGAAATACGTGCAATCGAATTTAGGAAGGAAGTACAAAAATTTTTTTAAGGTAGCCAAGCAATCTTAAAGGCTCTTGATTCAAACAGAATCAAGTCAAAGCTTGTCTGGAATTGCCTTGGAATACCAAATGATCTGGCAACTCACAATAAGGTAAAATTAGCTTGAGTACCAGGGTATCCAAGGAAAAGAAAAGTCTGATGAACTCGCCAAAGATTCGGGATAAGCAAAATATGTCTGCTCGATAGGCAGTGAAAAGGTGCATAACCACAAAACACTAAATTCAACATTGATATGGCTATATTTTATAATCAAAGAGTTAGATATGTATAAAGCAAATGTTCGATAAATGTTATTTCTTTCCTTATTGATTGTTAATGATTTATTTTTAAATGGAGCATCGTTCCCCTCGTTAAATTCGTATCTTAAACTATTCAAACGGGAACGAAAATTTAATTAATCATTTTCTTAAATAAGTCTTTATATTTAAAACAAACTTACCTAAATATAATTTATCTAAGTATCCTTTAACTGGTTTGGTTTTTTATTATTAAATCGTATTCGTTAAAAGCGCTTTTTTTTCTGGCTACGAGGTCAAGATCAATCTATTTTATTGTCATATACTTACCGAGTATACTGACTACAAAAAGAGTGAATATGATCATTGTATAAAGAACTAAATAGTAGTCTCACCTTATGGAAGTTTCATTGGAGCGAAATGGATACTACCAATAGATGGCGCTAGTGAATATGGATAAGTCGATATTCGTTTGCAGTGGGCGGAGTTGAGGGTCCAGCAGAAATTTTTAAGAATGACTGAGACCGATCGATAAATTTCTATTTTTAGCTCTTGGATGAAATTTTATACACTCGTGATTGAATGTTTGGACTATTTTCTATCTAATGTTTGTTATTGTGCGTTAGTGCGTTTGCGGGTAGTAGGTATTGTGAATGAGTTGTGTTTATGTTTTATTACTGAATTATTTTACTGTTAATAAAAGACGAGTTCCCAAAAAAAATTTGTGTAGGTATTTATAACTGTTTTGAAATTAATAAAATAGAAAATATGCTTTTGTTTTTCGTTTCCTTTACAGGTTTTATCCGAATTAATTTAAAATAAATTATATAATATTAATAATAGCAATAATAATACATTTCTTAAGTGTTGAAAAAATTGTATTTTTAATTTAAATACCTAAGTACTTAGCATAAGTAATTATAAACAACAGGTTATTTCTTTAATCTGGTGCGTAACAATGTAATAAAAAAAACCTTAAGATGGTTGGTAAATAATATAAATGAATTCTTAATATTGAAGTAAACACAATGGGTTCTATAAGGATTATTGGTTGGGGTTCGGCTTTGGGGGATAGGGTCGAAATATTGAAACTTAACTTGGTATATGGATATCCCATAAAAATAAAAATCGCTTTAAAAAATTCACCCCTCCACACCCCTATCTGATATGGTGAGGGTGGCATTCCCAAAAAATTAAGTTAGAACTTTTTAAATAAAACAGTTGAAGTCTACGATTTTTTATACATAAAAACACAAAATTCCAATTTTTTTGAAAAATAATTTCCAAATTTTTTTTGATCTTAGAAAAAATTTCGACTTTAATCTTCATAGTTCGGATGTGGGGGCTGGCATTTAAAAATAGTTACAAATACATAAAAATCTTATTTTTGGCATTTTTACAATAGAAATGATTTTCAACATTTTTGTATAAATATCTTACCACAACCATCCCCTAGAGGGAGATGGAGGGTGTGGCATCCCCAAAAAATCAAGTTAGAACTTAAAAAAAAAACAGTTAAAATCTACAATTTTTTATACATATAAACCCAAAATTTCAATTTTTAAATCAAATTATTAAATTAAATTATTTTTTTAATTTCTTTATTATATTTAATATTATTTCTACTTTTTCTAACAATAATCAATTTAAGATATCTACTTTGCTTGAGCCAAAATATTTAGTAGGGGAAGTTTTTAATATTTTACAAACATACTGTGTGCAAAAAAAAATATATGAATTTGGCTAAACATTAACCTTTATTTCTAAAAACAGGAGAACAATGTTACTTGAAAAATGTATCTAGAATTAATATTTACCACCATCAAATCCTGGACCTGGACACAATTTTTCTTTAGCAATACGGGAGAAGCGGAAGTGACATTTTTACAAATGAAATTAATTTTAACAAATTTATTTGAGATCATGTACAAGATTATTCATTATTAAAGACACCTTTTATAACCACTATTGCATATTCGAAAAAGCTTTAAATAAAAGTTCGGAATATGACTGACTTTTTTTAAATATACCATAAAAACACGTATTCAGATTTCACGGAATACAACACAAATAAACTTTTTTAAATGAGATACCCTCTATGTTATTAAATTTCTGGGATATTTTTTTTCTAATTTCACAAATGTATATTATTGATAACCCTATCTTATACCGTCTGTTCTCGAGTAATTTAACGTTGATAATGTAAACATGAAAAAGTTAACATTATTAAAGTAAAAGCTATGAAAATCACAACTATTATATTTGATAATAAAATAATCCAAATAGGTAGTTTACAGTGAGAAAGAAAAAGTGTAAATATTTATAAGATACCTATTCGACATAGATTATCTATGATATTCGACGTTTAATTAATCAGGAAAGAATACAGATCATTTCGAAAATTGAATAAAATATATATCTATGCTATCCTTATTAAAAAATATTCATGTTAAATCCTGTGAAATATGCACACCACTGATATGGTCATTTGATGACATTTTTACAAAATTCGGTCAATGTAAACATTATATAATAATAATTATAGCATAAAGGGAGGGTAATTTATAATGAATAACCCTGTTAGGTACCATAAATTTTCAGTAAAAAATTTTTAATTCGCACTTTTTTACGTAGATTAAAGAAAAATGTAATTTTGTGCGTTTTCTTGGTGCAGACATTTTGCGACACACTGTATATTCAAATCCAAAATGATGTATTTTCTTTTAACACATACCTAATACAAATTTATTAGCAAAATTTAAATACTTGTTATTTTCGGTATATTTCTCCTTTAGACACACACATTTTTAGTTTCATTGTCAAAAGATTTAAATAAAATTACCGGATTATAAAAATTATAAAATTATAATTTGATGATCCCGAGTGGCCATAGCAAAAAAACGAAATTTGAACATGAAGATTTAGATGTTATTAACGTAAAATTAACGTTTTGAAATTAATTTAAGTTTCACCAATTTAGAAAATAAAATTAAATAATAAAAAAAAAAGTATCCACTCAGGGGTTTGAACTCGGAACCCTTCGATTCGTAGACAAGTACTCTAAATTTTCGTTATGAAGACTTATGAAAAAATTTTACTTTTTAACGCT